TCATACAGTAGAAAAATACGCGAACGATGAAAAACATACGTACCGATCGTCCAGCCGGTCCAGTACAACGGACCACGTTTGCAGTGCAGCTTCGCCTTAACATTTTATGAAATCCTGATAAGAGTATTAAAATTAAATAAGCTAATAAATTTATTACCTCTAATATGTCAGATACTTTTTACAAAAAGTAAAAATAGTTCCAGCCAATTCGGAGGTTACCCGTTATAAAGGTGGACAGGCAGAAAGACCAAAGACCAAAGATTTTATTTTTTTATAATATTTTTGTTATATTATAAATATCACAAATAAATCAGGTGCATGAAATGTGCCAGTAATTTAAAAAAAACAATGACGAATTAAATGAAAAATTCATGAAATATGAAAATTGTATTATCATATTCCCGACAATCGAGTTTTATTTATCTGATTAGATCTTGCTACTTTTAGTGCCATCGTTGCATAACTTTCTGCATCAATTACTTATTCCAGTTGTCGTCCAGTGCCCACAAAGTAGGTGAGGACATCTCAACAGATTTTTATTTTTAAATTTTTCGTTACCTAATCATTTCTATATTAAAAAAGAAACAATATCTGTTTCCCTATGCGTTTCTAAACCTCACAAACAATATTTTCATGATTTTTTAGTAGAGTTAAGACGCCAAAGAAAATTCGTGCCCTTAAGAAATTTAAGAAAAAACCTTAAGAAATTAAAAAAAAAATTGTTTGTTCTTTTAACATTGGCTTGATTGATACTGCCTACTGTAAATGGACAGGCTATAAGAAGTGGTATTTTGTGCCTATTTTCGCCATTTTCGCGCTGACGGTAGCGATCTACTGCAGTGACAATACTTCAAACTAATATTAGATATAAAATAAACACTCACATCAAAAGAGGCATTTAAATTGTAACGAACCAGAAGCTGTCATATCAAACCTTTATAGAGATGACAGGTTGGGTCATAATTTGTTTTCTGATTTTCACATAAATTACGTTTTTATACGACTAATTACTTTATTAACTTATGCATAATTTTATAATTTTAATTTTATATTATTTTATATATATATATTTAATTCTTATAATGCAATTGTAAGAAAAAAAATTCACAGTATGTGAAATGTCATTCTATAAAAAAAATTACATTGCACTTCATTACTGAGTTTTATTATAAATCAGAAAATAAACTGTTTGATTAAAACCACATCGCAATTATATTACGTACGTGGATTTTATGGTCGATGTGTTCCAATATTGCCTAAGGCTGTTTGTTCGTAATGGCTAATGGAGTTTGTGCATTTTAATTACAAATTGATGTCTGCTTTCAGTAGTGTGCAATTTTACTGATTGTTTATACACATACGTACCTATTATCGACTATTAAACATTTAATTCCCAGTAGCTATTTACAGCTACTTTGAATGATCCTTTAATTAACTTTTTATTGACCTCTCTGTATTATAGTGCTATTGTTTTTTAAAATTATTAGTCAACTCTTCTCTTTACGGACAGCACTTTTCGTTTTTCTTATCTAATATAGAAATCACAATATAAAATTCTTGTGTCACAATGTTTGATGGATTTTTATGAAATTTTGTATGCATATTCAATAGATCTGAGAATCGGCTATTATCTATTTCTGATCCCGCACAGACATAGTCGCGGGAGGATTCTAGTTATCACAATTTCTTATTTGTTGATAGATATATCGTTAAAGCCCGAGAACTGTTCAGTAAGGTAAAGGTGCGTAGACAAAACAGAATCGTACAGTTTAACTAACGATTCAGATTTTGTCTAGCCACGTACGATTTAACAGAACCGTCGTCGGTCTGTGACAGAAAACACTGGCCCAATCCGTTAAGGGAGAGCCATACACAAGAAATTGATCGATTGAAAATCCAATTTTATAATATTTTGTTAACATGTCTGTCGGGTAATCTTCGAAACGGTTGGACCTATTTTGACGGGATTTTTGGTGAAAAGTAGCTGATATGTGCGGGAGTGATATAGGATATTTTTTTTTATTTCATACTAACAAAGTTACGGGCTAGCGCTAGTTTCAAATAAAATATAAGATAAGCTTAATTCTATTGTAATAAAATAATAGCGTACGTGCATCAGACATCCAAGACAATAGTAATACTGTGGGGAATACAATCTTGCACTGCACACCCTATGATATACAAGATTTAATTTACTGAAATGGAAAATTCCATTGTTTTAGTTAAATCTGAATGTAGTTAATAACCATCTAAAATTTGTAAGATATTTGTATATATTTGGTATAAATATAATACTCAAAAGACCTAAAATCTCCTTCCCCTTCTAATTTTCAGTCCGTACTTTGATGTGGTCAGTTTAATTTGTAAATCTCTTTCACTTCGCGCTATACTCTACAACATCTGAAACTTGACAGTTCCCCACGAAAATAAACCTAAATTGTTCAGAAAATACTTGGTTTGCTTTAACATTTGTTTGTTTTTTTTTAATGTTTTTGATTGCTTACATTAAGCATTTTGCGCTAATGTTGACTATGAGGTTATCTAATCTAGAAAACGCCAATTTAACAGATGTTACACTATACCATGTGGCTTACTATAGTCAGCAAATTGAAATCAGATAGTAGTATTTATAATGCTGGTCATAATGGATTACTTCGATGTACTATTTGGGAATCACTTAACATAAGCAAATAGTCATTATTATTCTTACTATCAGAATATTGAATTATTAAAAAAGTAGGGTAACATCCCGGACTCAGGATAAGGAATAACTTTCAAGTTTAAAACTCATTTTATCAATAAATTAACCGAAAATGTAAGTATACTAAAGTATACTCATTTAATAAACATTAAGAAACGCTTAAATTTTGACTAGGATTTTTTTTGAGAATATGATCAGTGATGTGAAATAATGTAACAGATGAGATTCGTATTCTAATAGAATATGAAATGGAATTAAAATATTTTAAATTTAAAAAAAAAAACTTTTTGCCAACACGATGACAATGTTTATAGATTACCAAGTATTGGTCACTTTGTGTGAATTTCGGTGTTAGCCTTAGCAATTGTTCTCATCAGAACAGAATTGTTTTCAGAACTGGGCACTGTAAATGTACTTTTCAGAAAAGAAAAATATTCTACGACGTTACGAGAAATGAAAAATAAATCTTCAAAATTTCTTTAAATTTGAATATTTAGTATTAAGGTTTAATTAGATTATATAGGTACATCAAAAGTTCTAATACTTTTATCGTCAATACAAAAATGTGACTACAACAAGACACCTTGTTGATGTCACAGATACTCCCATAAAGTCTCCCCTGGGTGACTTTGTGAATTTCGTGAAACTTGGTGAAATGTTTAGACCCACCTGTGCTATTTGTTCACAAAACTTCTCGCCGCTCGACACAAGAGTTTGTGTAGGAAATTAGCCAGGTGTGTTATAAACTACAACTATTAAAACTAATAGCTCTTTAATTATTACACCGTGTATTAAAAAAATAAGAATAGACAAGACATTAGAACTGAGTACATCCTCCCTTAAATGCTAATTGATAAGAATATTCCAATATTTAAATTGACAATGTACTCAATGTTTTATCAGTATTCGGAATGAACGGCAAGGGATGTTTATGGCGATTCCTGTGGTAAGTTTGGACTGTAGTCAATCGATGTTAGGAATCATCAAACCGTCCAGTAAAGTTAATTAAGTAATTTTTGGCGTGAAGTGGAAGCAATTCCGCGTTTCGTCTGATGAATGTGCGTCCCAGAGGCCTAATTTAATCATCTTTCCCCTCCCACCCTTTTTCTTATATGGAAAGGATGGGAAGTGGAAGTAGACTTTCCGGATGAGAGGATGCATAGAAGGGGAAAACATTTTCTTTCTGTGCATCCTCTCCTCCGTCGATTAAAGGTAGGCAACGCATATGCAATTGGTTATGTCTATGGGCAACGGTCAGTTCGCTATTTCAGCGATTTTAAGTGGCCGCTCGCTCGCTTGCCACCTTACGACATAAAAAAGACCTTTATTTATTCTCGTCTGTTCGTTCATATTGCTTACTTATGAGCCTGAAACATTCTATAAAAAAATACCAATAGAAATGCTATGTAAATCAAACGTATCCTAGGGGAACCGTATACATATTCGAGATAATAGATAGCCTATCTGTTCATCCAGACCGGGTTCTACATCTGTACTAAATCATCAAGATCGCCTTCGCCGTTCTGGAGATACATAATAACATACATCCATCCAAAAAACCATCCATCCAAATATTCCCATTTACAATATTAGTAACATTAAATGTATAATTCTAGAAAAACGTATAATCAATGCAATGAAACATATATTTATCTTCAAATGCTTTAGTTATGAATGTCATTAACAAAAGCACTCTTGCAGGGAGATGACGTCATGAATAAACAATTGTAAAATCTTTTTGTGCTGCCCATTTATCCTGATGCATAAATTTAATACCATAAAATGTATTCTGGTTTTTTTTTATCTTATGAATACCTTGTAAGAAGATAATGGATCAGATAAATAATTAAATTCATTGCATTATAAAATTATATTTGCGTCTTCATCAGTAAAAAGATAATGCATTTGTGCACGTCATACAATTATTATTTTCATATAATGTATGTATATTATGTGCGTCAAGTTATTTTTAACATAAAACTGATTTCGTACATGCATGCTCTTTTGTTTTAGTTTTTCTGGCTTAAAATTATCGCGAAAAACTTAAAAAATGCGGATATATATCTGACGTACTTATAAAAATATATAATAGCTTAATTAATTATTTTTTATATTATCTAATATTAGTGTACGATACACAGGCTCTGCTCTGTGATGTGTACATAGATTTCATGTGTTGTGCATAAGTTATCAGATTTTTTTAATGGAAAAGTTGTAAAGTGCTTATGAGAATAGATGTTTCGTACATGTATTAATTACGGGTGAAATGTATGGTGATAGTAAAACAAGTAAAACTTACATCTTGTTGATTAAAGAAGTCTTCTTGGGCCTCCTCGTTCGAACAGCCCATGTCTTGTAGCAAAGGAGTCACGTGTCGCTCCCAGTCATCCATTTTTTTCGAATCAACACCTAACCTGAGGTACTCGAACCGAAAATCACAACTTAATCTTCACAAGCAAGGGTTTATTGGCTGCCACTGATTATCTTTGGTGAGTTGCGAGTCGACATTTCGCGCCAAACGGAGCGCACTTTTTATTTGAAAGTGGCGGGAAGAGGAGTCGTCAACGACTTCGGCTGTCACTGAGACGAACGAGCGGGAAAAAACGGCAGCGGCCTATCACGTGCCACTGGTGCGGGCACGAAAGGCACGCACTGGGAAAAGTCGGTGTAAACAGCGCGAGCCTAGTCAGTGTGGCGAGGCGCGGGTTCCCGGCCGCCCGTCGACGCGACCGGAACAGGAGTGTGCTGCGGCTCGCGAGGCCGCACGCCCTCGCTGCCGCCCTCCCGCTCGCACTCACGCCGCCCGCCTACCCGCGTCCCTCTCTCGCGACTCGGCGTCGTACGCCTACCATGGGCGGCCGCGATTTCCCGCCGACCGACTGTCCGCAACATGGCCGTAGGTATCTACGTCGCCATCCACTTACCACTGTCTAACTGGACTGGTCCATCATCAACTAGATCTTGCAAAAAAAAAACTTTTGTACATATATTACATAAAAAATATTTTTGGGTCGTCTTTGCTTCATTTAATTTAAAAAGTTGGAAAACACAAAAATTAACAATTTTTTCAATAAGCCTTCTTCAAAATTACACCAACAAAAACATTTTCACGATCAATTGAATAGATATAAAAGTTGAAATACACATAACATATCTAAGTATCTAAAAAGGATAGTTACAGGAGTTAGCAAGATAATTATAATGAATTAGCAAGATCCAAAAAATCTACAACAATAAAATAAAAATTCTACTACCAAATGATATCAACAGAGGTCATGTAAATCTGTTTCATTACTTAAATGTAATATAACTTGATATACATACACAATCAGAGTGAAATAGAACTAACGTTGTTAACAAGTATAACAATCTAAGTTAGTTAAATATTCTTCGTACAGGGTGAACAGTCCTGAATCTAAAATGGAAATGCAATAATACAGCGAACTAGAGCAAACTTTCATCTCTGCTGTGAGGTTGTTTAAATGTTACATACATTTTCCTCTTACAGGAGACACTAGCAGAGTTTTACTGGAAATTTGTTTCAATGTAAGTGTTAAATAAATTATTGTAAAATAAAGTTGGAATTATAAAAAACAAAATATTATTAAAATTCTAAGTTGATACTAGTGAAATGATTGATAAGTATTTTCTTTTTAATAATAAATCATAATCAAAAATATATGTAAGTAACAATACGAAAATTATCAACATACTTTATACTAAATATATAACACATAACAATACATAACCGTATGTTTGTACCTTATAAAATAATCAAGAAAACTCGGTGTAAAAAAATTGGTAAATTTTCATAAGAAAAGGAACAATTGTCTTTGTCAAAGCGCTAACTAACGATACAATTTTTTTTAAATACTTCACCCGCGAACTCTAAATGTTGTAGCAAAATAATTTCACAGATACTGGTTTTTTAGTCTAAAAATGCTGTAGAAAAAATAAACTTATTTTGTATAAAATCATTAAATAATTATACTTTAACCGCAATAAATATGTAATGTTCGTTTAAAATTTTGAATTCCCTGTGGTTTATGTCGTGCAGATATAACTAAAGCAAGTTCGGTCATTATTAAAAGCGAAGCGAGTAACATAGTTAAACACTTTCAGCGAACGGAGTTTGTGAAGAACGTACAAGCGGCCAATTAAAAGTTAAATGTCTAATTCTTGTTAGACGCGGGAAGTCTGCAACTAGTAGGTTAGGTTGTGAAACGAAAGTTTGCCACGTTTCGCCCGATAGGTATGACATGGGTGGCTTCAATTATTATTATCTTGTCTAAACGAAGGAAAAGTCATTTTTCAAACAAGCAAATTCTTTACTTTATCCTTCACATGGCTAATAGCTATTAAAACATGAAATGTTTTAAAGTTTTCCCTTTAAAACCTAATGTAAAAAATATAGAGGCTGCCATACAAGGATTATTTTTCTTTTTTTTGTGAGACGAAGGAAAACTTGTGGCTTGGACGCCGAAGTGATCATCGACCCTTAAAGACATCTACGACACTGCAGGAACCGCACACGGCTTTCGACTGAATACTTCTAAATAGTTGACGTACATTTTCATCGGTGTGAGAAAACTGCGGCCTGTGAATGGTGAAAATTAACTACTGATCCTATGTGGACCAGTGTATGGCAGCCTAAACATGTCAAAAGCTATGGTGCAATCCTGTCCTAACCGCATAAAGTAAGGCATTTGCACAGACTTGCAATCTGCAGGTCCTGGGTTCGAATCCCGCCATGTACCAATGTGTTTTACTATTTCCGATTTACATATATACATTTATCCGACATTCTTACGGTTAAGGAAAACATCATGATGCAACCTGCACATATCTGAGAAGAGATTTAAAAATATGTGTGAAGTCAACCAACCCGCACTGTGCCAGTGTGGTTAACTATGGCCTAATCACTCCTGGCTTAGGGTAGGCTCCGAGCCCCTCGATGGGGACGTATAGTGAGCTGATGATATATATAGATCTAGACTTTTAGGGTAAATTCTATATTCTTAGATAAAAGGAATGACAAAACAGATCAATAAGTTATCGCATGCATGTTTAAGTGTAATATTAAGGTATATTCATTGTAATTAGCACAGTCGATGAAAAATTTTATTAAATGTAATATTATAAGTAACTTAATAAACATTAGATGAGTTCATTACCTCTGCTGAATAATCGTTAGCATTTTAATAAAGGTTTCAAATTTTTCCGTCGATCCGTGCAACTATCGCCCTGATAGTGTTTCGTTACAAACTCGGCTTCAAATTACTTTTTATGTTTACTTTGCTAAATGCCTAGAAATTATCTAGGTTGGAACCGACTCATCCAAATAATGGAACGTTAGCATTAACATTTAGGCAATTCATTCTACTCACGAGACTTAGACTTATAATTATGCAATTTCTTTCTTTTGTTTTACTAACATTTTAAGGTAATAATTGTTAATAGTCTTTAATTAATTGTGAATTCCAGTCCACACAACTTACAGCGATGTAATGATTGAAAAAGGGTCCTTGATTTTTTTTTATAAGAGAAGGGGGCAAACGACCGTCGGGAACACCGAGGTGATCAACGACACCCATGGACATCTGCAACACCAGAGGAACTGTAGATGCGTTGCCGGCCTTAATGGAAGATAAACAATTATGTACTTAAATAATGCATTGCTTGATCCCTCAACATGGCGACTGCGATATGATCACATACAATTGCGCTGGTGTTTATAACTGTGGGTAATTCTATAGTTTACTAGTATTATAAATACGAAAGTTTAGATGAATAGATGGATGGATGGATGTTTGTTAGAAGGTAACTCCAGAATGGATGCATGGATCTCGCTGAAATTTGTCATGAGTGTAGAACACAGAGGCTACTAAGGTTTTTTTTTTAATTCCGCGATAACGGATCGCGGGCGACAGCTATTCGAAAATTAATCAAAACGCAGGAGAATTGGTGAAAATCTGTATAACCATATCAGCACCAGTGCGCTTTCCTTTTATTTTGTCTTTTCCTTTAACCGTAGGTTTACACTGCAGAAACAATTATCAAACAACGTTTTATATTCTTAATTTTACCAAGAAAAAAACTGATGGCTATAATTCGATGTATTCTCACGGTAATTCGGTGATCCTAAATTTTCATGGCATTCCAACAATGTATTATATGTTACATATAATTTGAACAAGTACATAAAACAATCAGTAATATGTTAACGTAAGGAATGTGATACATGCATAGTAATAAGACAATGTTTTCTATGTACCTCATTGTGTAATATAAACAAACACGTGTAGCGGATTCTTTGAATAGTATTACGCGGTAGCAAATTGTGAGTGGTTATTGATACTGCCAAGTAGCCAGACAGGTGGAGAATATTTTCATGTAACTATATAAAATATTTTTTAAGCACTCGACTTGTAATCTGCAAGTCCTGGGTTCGAAACCCGCCATGTACCAATGTGTTTTTCGATTTACATATGTATATTTATCCGACGTTCTTACGGTGGAGAAAAACACCGTGATGCAACCTGCACATATTTGCGAAGAAATTCAAAGATATGTGTGAAGTCAACCAACCCGCAATGGGCCAGCGTGGTTGACTATGGCCTAGTCACCAATTGTAGTTAAGTTATTAATAAATTTTAAACAGTAGCTATATAATTAAAGGTCAAGAACTTTTACTCGATATTTGATTTCCGCTAAGGTTCCAAGTCTAAATTAGAGCAAAACCCAAGTTCAATTAGTATTGTAAAAAAATGTTACCGAGCTTAAGTTATAATATTAAAAGGAAATTAAGCGACAATTTTTTTGCAAAAAGTGCAATTAAAAAACCAGTCGTTTCATTGCTGCTACCTACACTTTTATATCAACTAGTTGTCGCCAGCGACTCCTTCCGCGCGGTATTAGAAAAAAACATAAGTAAGTAGCCTGTGTGTTCTTCCAGAAAAATTCATCGAATTCCATTGAACCGTTCTGGTGACACTTTCTAACATCGATCCTTTCATCCATACATCCAAACTTTTGCTTTTATTATATTAGTAAAATTTTAAATAGTAACGATAATTCATATAAATACCTACAAACCAACATAAAAATGAAGACTAGCAACGTTTTCAACATTTATTGATTGCACTTGTACAATAACAGTTATGAAAGTTTCATAAAGGATTCTCTCTGACGGTCTACAATCCAATTTCGCTGTTAAGGAAATTGTTCTTCAACGAAAACGTCAGTCACATCACATCGCTCACAGTCGCCAGTTTCAAGTACGTCACTACTTCTATGTTTGTTTTTTCTATTTTGCGAGAATATTGAAAATCAAAGTACTTTTCCATTGAAAGATTGAAACATTAAAATGTTCTTCTTGATTCAAAAAGCTAGTAAATTAGAACAAAATGCGAGTAAACTTTATTTTACACGTGTTACGTGTTATCTTATTGTACCCACTCCCCCTACGTCATTTTTTTCGGAGCCCCTACCCCATCGAGGCCCATTGCGTGTCGTAGTATCGAAGGCTATATTGATTACGAATATAAATGTTTTTTTGAGGTATTTTATTACCGAATAAACTAGTGCTTGACCACAAACCCACTTCTTGATAAACGGCTATGTGATCGAAAGATGGTACGCTCTAGTAAATACTATCTTCTATGTTATTCTATTCTAACAAAAAATAAATGTAAATCAATTTTTTTACAATACTGTAATTGTCG